TAGCCCTTTGTGCCTCCGTTTACCCAGTAAAACTGAGTATAGTGACTCCTACATGAGAAAGGCTGTGTGAAATTTAAGAAGCTAGTCCTGGAAATACTTTGTGGTACTATGGAAAATTAGGATGCATTACATATGTCCATTGCAAATGCATACATAGTGCTCACGTCAAGTACTCTGACTCAATAACTAAATAGCAGCAGCATTTAATCCATGCTACAAAGCTCCTAAGAAGTTCTGCATAAGACACTCATGAGGCATCTATATGGGCAGAGTTGGTGCACTGACAGGCATAGGTGTGATGCCTTCTCATTTGCAGCCAAATTTCAGGTAGATTTTACTCCTGCATTCCCTTATGTCTTGCATGGGGGTGCATTTCCTTTCAAAAGGAGAGCTGATTGACAGTCTTTAGCAGAGTTCTGTGCAAGCACCATGTCAGCAGACAAGTTACCAAGGCTGAGAGTAAAGAAGGAGCACAGGCAGGGATCATCGTGCCGTTCTGTGCTGGGACAGTACCAAACAATAGAGCGCTGACCTGTGGCTGGGGCTTGCTGGTTCTATTGCAGCACAAAAAACCCCCAACTGGGATAGAGCCCCAGACACACAGCTGAACAATCCCAATTCTACTGAAAAAAGAGCTGCAATATAAAATAGCCTGTTATTATATATAGCTGAACCTGTATACAATCTATAAAGTAACCAGTGAAGCTTGAGCCTCTGATATTGATCATTGTCTGGGTGTAGAATGAAAGAGGCAGCCACACATTAGTTTCCTTCCACCATTATTTGTGCACATGTTGAGCTGGATGAACAGCTAAGAAATGACCAATTTATAATGGTGCATAAATCTGTTGTTATCATTGTGACTAATCAATTCAGACTCTCCAAGACACATGGTGGCAATTATTTTCTTCCCCTCCTACTCATCCCATTTAATTTATTTCTGAAATTTATCTCCAACTCATGGCCTTTAACGGGTGGCCATCTCAAGGTGTTTATCTTTCTTTTAGTGCGACGTTAAATATTTTTCATCCTTTGTTTTGACATTTCAGGTATTAAGAGAGAAAGATCTCTTGTTTGCAGCAATTTGAAAAACTATAAATAACAAGTGAAAATCACAGAGATGCCTTTGCTGGAATTTCTTTTGCCTGCTTTCAGTAAAAGTTAAGATGGCTTCCCCAGGCTTGACAATAGAATAAGCCAAGCCTTTAGCAATGTACAATTATGCTGAAGATAAGTGAACCACACAGATTTAGACCATCAAAGGGACTGGCCACCCCAAGTAGTCATTCAGTAGTGATAATGTTGAAGTACAACCAACAGCATAAAGGACAAATGTTTCGGTCACTTGAATTATCTTGCTGAATCTGATATTGGGACTCATGTATTCAAACTGTGTCTGTGCACTATTTCCCATTTTTTATTATTGTATTCTGCAAATCCTGCCCCCAATTCTCAGGTGTGATATGGCTGATCACAGCTCTAACATTGACAATCAGATTACTAAGGAGCTCTTCTACCTACTGCAATTCTTAGGACCCTAAAATGACATTCCCATGAATTGGTATCTGGCTTAGGAAAAGGGTCATTGCTAAAGTGTCCCCACAATCTAGGTGGACCCCAGGTAATGGGGAGGGGGTGGGGGAAGGAGGATTAAATGCTAGCATAAATCTGAGTGACAGTAGAACACAGGAACCAGCCAAAAAAGACCAGGATAAGCAATAGCATTAACTGTACCTTCAAGTAATTTTATACTTATATCTAAATTATTATAATTTTCTTTCCAGGAGATAAGAGATTTTTCAGACTGTACCTCAACACTTCTACTAGAATGGGAAGAGGAAGCACCAAGAGCACATTTAACCAGTACATTCAGCTACACCTTTGGTGTCCCCATAGATACTTACTTATGCTCAATTCAAAAAGATAGACTAAAAGGAAACCTTCCTTCCAAATAACCCTGAAGTTTTAAAGAGTAGAAGTTTTGTGTGCCAGATACAGAGTTTTTCAAGTTTTATATGCCAGATTCTGCTCCAATTTAAAACAATAAGCTTTTCCACTAACTTAAAAAGGGGTCAAATCATTGTACTCATTTTTATTAAACATAAAGCAGATGCTGCCCTCTCTCCCCCAGTGATATTCATTCACATTCTTTAAGAAAAAAAAGCGGCTTCAGTTGTATCCATGCCCCTTTTCTCTTTGAATACTAGAACAGCCACACCATATCAGGATGATGCACCTTCATTATTTCATGTAAGAACTCTTGTGCAGTACTAAGGAAACTCCATTCGGGCTGTAGCAACTGGATCTTTATTAAGTGCAATGTATTCAGTGGTGCTGCTTGCAACCATGTGGCACACTATATTCAGGGCTGTTGCTCATTGCCTGAGAACAGAGCCTGCTGAACTTACTGGTATCACGTGAGAACAGAGTTTACTGGTGTCACCCTCAGAATCATCCTTCCTATATGTCCTGTTCAGCTTGCAAGGTCCCCTGATGGGTCAAAGGGAGGTACAAGAATCCTTGGAACAAACAATAAAATTACCAGCACAGGAATGTTTCTTCCTGATCCCAGGCTTATGAAACGTGGGACTTTCTAGCCTTCCTTTTTCTTTATTCTGCTGCATACATCTTTGGATTATTTTCTATTATAATTGAACAAAGTTTGCAGAATATCCTCAGCAACAGAATCTCAGTTTCTTAATAATAAATAGTTACATAAATAAGATAAGATCAGGGATCAGAAACTTATTATCTGGGATACCAGCAACAAACTGTTTGCCAGCAGTGTACAGACCAAAAATCTTTGGTAGAAGTTACTGAGAGTGTGATTCTGGCTAGGGAAGAGCAACAGTACCTCAGATTATGTTTGCAGAGATTTCTCGAGCAGGACAAAGAGCAGGGAAACCACTGAGTTATCTAGTTATTGCAAGTTTTCCAGTTCGGTTCAACATACTATCCTCACTGTTATTGAGCTGGAGAGCAGTGGCTTCTGAGTGACAGAGTTGGCACAAAAACTTGCAGTCAAACTGAAATCTCTCCATTGCCTTTAACAGGAGCTACATCAGACCCATCTCTCTCTGACTACTGTACAAGACACACACCTATATGCTGCTGCGTTATAAAAGTGCTGATAGCAAAAATGGAAGATCAAAGTGCCCAGACATTTCCATGGGAAATGATAAAAGTTTGTAAAGAGGAAATTCCACATTATTCAAATGAGGAGCATTCATAAATGTCGATTAGGGCAAATTTCACCTCTTCAAATTGACCCATTTATCCACAGAATGGCTCAGCTGGATGTTCTGTACACTGCTTCCAAAGAGAACTTCCATTTACAATGGTAAAAGTTCCAGTTCCAGAACAATTACAGAAAGTACATTAGCAAGTTGAGGCCAGCTTTTGTTTTCTGTTATTCTTATGTCATTTTGGAGTCTCTCCAGTAAAGTGAGTGATTGCAGAGTCACTCAAGGGAAACTTAGAAGAGAATCTTGTCAACAATAAGTCCCAAATGAAAATCTGAGAGGAGAATTTTTGCTCTTGAGCTGAACTGATAGTGTTCTCCGTATTCTGTAAGTATTGTCTTTTGAAGGATCACTTCCATTCCCTAACACAGAACAGCAAGTGCTGATTTTGCTGGCATGGTACAGTGTTCCTAGAAATTCTGCCCAGTAGCATATTGAATAAGTAGGTTGCTTTTGGCAGAGAACTCAGAAAATTTGATCACTCTCACTGCAGCATAACAGAGTTCACACATTTCCTTGTCACTGGAGCTTTGCATTTCTAGCACTCCACCCCAGCAGGGAAGACTATGCTGTTGCCTATTTGAGACAAGGCTACTGCTGCTGCAACCCCTGTATATTCTTATATTTTGAAACATCAAACAGACAAAAAAATTTTTAAAAAGATGCCACTGTAGAACATTGAGAGCAAGCTGCACAGAAAGACCGTATGACATTAGACATCACTGGATATGGCACCAAGCCTCTACTGTTTTGGGGATGTCATTACAACCCTAAAAGAACCTCCAGGAATGTGCCCAGTGTACGGGTTTTCCTGGACTAGAGAAACTTTGTACATCGATACACTGACAGCAATGCAGAAACCTCTGCACTGACAAGACCTAATAGAGAGGGGGTAGAATATTTGTCAAGAAGCCAGATTTTTCTAATCTATATATTCCTGAAATATATATTCCTCCGGAAATAGGTTTTAAATAATTGGGCACTGGACATTTATTTTGTTCTTAGATGTACTCCTCAGTCTGTAGGGAGTGATCTTTAAGAAATATTTAGATTTTTTCTCTGTACAAAGTATAAAGTGAAGGAACCACATATGTATTCAGTAAACAACGTACCTATCACATGGAAACCATAGCACACAGGGAGTGCTGCTATACTAGAAAGCTCAGGCTATTCAAAGAACTTTTTATTTCACTTCCTCTATACTATAAAAAGGGAAAGGGGAAAAAAAGAGGCGTTTGATTTTCCTTAACTACATTCAATTTTCAGTAAGCGTGAAATATTAATTTAGTGAAAAGACAGTGACATCTGCTTTGAAGCCTTTTTTTTTTTTTTTAAACTTGGCCCTGGATGGAAATGCACTGCACTACAAAGAAGTCACTAGTGATCATTTTCCACTCACGCCTTAGTCTACAAGCCATTGATTGTATTCTGTCAAATCACAGTCTTCCAAATCACAGCACAGAGTCCTTTGCTGCTGGACATTTCCATATTTTAAAATCTAGCTACACAAGCAAAAGGATGGAAAACAGAAAAATCTCCAAGACCAATTCTTATTCACACTGAGACTCCTTTCTACTACTCCAATTTCATGAATGGCTTTAGAGTAATTAGGAACTTCATCATGAAAGACAAAGTCAGTCCACTATATACCTGTTAGGATTTCACCAATGCATGTTCACCAAGATCATGTTTTAAAAAAAGTAAAAACAACATATATTAAGATACACTGAGCATGTATTTTACTTTTATTTTACACAGACCCTGCAAATGGGCATCAAGCACTTTTCTGGACTCTTCGTGATGTTATGCATTGGTTTTGGCTTGTCCATTCTCACCACCATTGGAGAACATATAGTATACAGGCTGGTCCTACCACGAATCAAAAAGAAATCCAAGATGAAGTACTGGCTCCATACAAGCCAGGTATGTATTCTAGCAGCACATCAGTCATTCTATCATTTAATAGTACTGCTGTTCAGTAAAGGCCAAATCAAGTCACTGGAAAGACTGCCTTCTTGGCTTCAGTGGGTTTTGGGCCCAGCCTTAAAATATTTTTAGGATTATTACTATACTCTGTTCCAATGCATGCTAGTGAGAGTTTCACAAGTGACATCAATTGGAGCAGGAGTAAGACTCCTCAAAACTCATTCCCCGTGATGGTGCTTTTTCCTCAGAGCAGTAAACATTTCCTTAATCTGAAGGAGGAAGTTGACATTGACTTGGAACATTTATTATGACGCAAAAAAGGAGAAATTTTCAAATAAGCCCATGAGCAGGTTACATGGTTCCGGGGGTTTGTAAACTTAAGGCATTTTGACAAGAACAGTCCAAGTTTCTGTACACATGGATAGGCTCTGCCATTTCAGAGTCATTGGGGGGAAAAGGAGTCATAGCAGTTAACAATTCTCCGCTGAGTGCATCAGTCAGAACACAGGAGGTCTTATGCTCACTTACACAAAGGCCCTTAGTAAAGATTCTCAATTGCCACATTAAGATATGGTAAAGAGGGATAAAAAGTAATACAGGAAGTAATACAATAACATTATTCTTATAGTTAATCATAGCCCGCCTCATCTATTTGGGTAAGCCGTGTTAAGGTACATACACTGGGGCAATGATAATTGTGTCTGCTGGGGACTATGTAAGGTAAGTGTTTGGAAAGATGAGGTTTACTTAACACTGAAGAGAGAAACACAAAAGGGGACTTCACTGAGGACTTCAGATTACAAAGTAGATAATGCAAAATGAACACTACCCCCAACCCTTTTATTTTAAACCCTTTGAATGCCTTTTTCTAACCCAAACACTTTGCAGCTATTCATGTGCTCTTGTATCACAGGACATTTTTTTTCACAAGATATGTTGTGTCATTCTTATATTAGTTTTCCCCTAAATGGTGTTTGGGTTCTATTTCTCTTTGGGACTTTGTGCACCAAGGACCATGAATAGACATTACATTTGTCCTGGGAGAAACCATTTCCTCCTGAGAGAAAGTGTGATCATTCAGACATCCATGTCTGTTGTCACAGAACAAACCCCCAAAAGGTTCATGGGATAAGATGAGCTAACAGTTTGTCTTGGGACATCACAAAGTCCATCTAAATAGTTGTTTGGGGACTGCATCATTGAATCAATGGCGGAAAAGTGGCAGTGCATCCAAACGCTCACTAACCTCAATTATAAAGGCAGTGTGTGTACAATAAAACCTTGTTAATTCAAAATGCAGGGGACCAAAAAATACTGAAATAAATGCATTTGAATTCTCCAAATTACAGTATTACAGCTTATTATACTACAGCTTATTATACAGTACTACAGATTATTATACAAAATCACTGTACAGTACTGCATAGATTTCATAGACATTAGGGCTGGAAGGGACCCCGGAGGATCTTTGAGTCCAGCCCCCCTGTCCCAAGTGCGGGAAGTCAGCAGGGATCATAGGATCCCAGCAAGATAAGCATCCAAATGCATCTTGAAGGCATTCAAAGTGAATGCCTTGAACCGCCTCCGGTGGCAGTCTATTCCAAACCTTCGGGGCTCGGACTGAAGAAGTTCTTTCTTATGTCCAGCCTGAATCGGTCACAGTGGAGTTTGTGATTGTTTGATCTTGTCATCCCTTGGGGGGCTCTGGTGAACAGACATTCCCCCAGATCCTGATAAGCACCCCTGATAAACTTATAGGTGGCCACCAGATCACCCCTGAGCCTGCACTTTTCCAGGCTGAATAGCCCCATGGCTCTCAGCCTGTCATCATAAGGTCTGTTTTCCTGACCTCTGATCATGCGCGTGGCTCTCCTCTGCACCCTCTCAAGCTTCTCCACATCCTTTTTG